CTTTAATTTTAAACTTATTTTTATCCCACCTTGCTTTTGGTTCTCAAATACTACAATGCCAGCTTTAAGTCCATTTTGAACATACATATTTCCCTTTTATATTATATTTCACTTTAAGTGTTATCAATGTTGCTACTTTTTTTTTTATGGTAGTTACTGTGTGAACCAGGGGAGTTTCTTTAGGGAGTTGCTACACTCACCCACCAGCTGAGTTCTCTGACATGCATCATTGCCAAAGGGCGGAAAAATAAACATGTTAGAAAAAAGACTGGAATCTAGAAAGACATCACAAATAGGTTTTACAAAAAAAAAAAAATAAAAAAAAAATTCAATGACTGCAAATACATTTGGAACTTTAGACGTTACAACAAAATAATACTTTTTAATAACACCAGAATGAAAAGTAAAAACTAAAGTGTTCCACCACTATGTTAAAGGCCACTTTTGTTGTGTACAGATAAGTCATTTCATACACATCTGAGGTGGGGAGATGTTGTTCTAAATGGGCAGCATTTTGCAGTCTGTTAAATTCTATCTCAGCCTCTCCCACACCAAAATACCATCAATTACAGCAGACAGTTTGAGGTCATTTACACTGCTTATTCCTCCAGGGTGTGGACATGCTCTTTTAGGGCAGTGATTCACAGATTTTTTTTGATTGGGTCCCCCTTCTTTGTATCTGTAGTTGTTTACACGTCTTCCCTCTACCCTCACCAATGGTACATATACTGCCATCAGCTGCACCACACTGCCAGCAGCACAGAAGTAAGGATAGCAATGTGAAAACTGATATTCATTGATATCGCTTTTAACAGCAGCCTTACTGCCCTCTTGAAACCTTATTTCTGTGCTGCTGCTAGGGTTGCCAGGTGTCTGGTTTTGAACTGGACAGTCCAGTATTTGAGCTTTCTGTTTGGGAAACAAATTGAGAAAATATAAATAAGAAAATATAAATGTCCGGTATTTTCTAAATAAGATGTAATGTCGATTGTGATGTAATGTCAAGTGTGTCCGGTATTTTTGTTGAAACCATCTGGCAACCCTAGCTGCTGCTGCCACATTGGGGATGACCGCCTGAGACCCATCACTTCCAAGTGAGGGACTGAGGTGGGGAGGGGAAAGGAGAGCACGACTGGGCTATCTCCTGGTGACGGATTAGGGGTGAGAAGAAAGCTTGGATGTGGAGCTCTGGCTGTTGCATTAATCTTTACCTCTTAGTTGCCACTTGGGGCTGACAGCCAGAGCTCATAAAAATCAACAACAAAAGCACACAATTCACATCTCCCTTTGGAGACCTATCCCATATTCTGGAAAATACTGCTCTAGGGAATTTCTGGGGCAGCAGTGATTGTGGTGAGCAGTCAAATGAGCTGAAGGAGGCAGGAAGTTTATGACGCTCTAGGGAATTTCTGGGGCAGCAGTGATTGTGGTGAGCAGACACTGTCAAATGAACTGAAGGAGGCAGGAAGTTTATGATGGAGAGTGGTTATTACACAGAATACCCCTTGTGTGGTGTATCCCAAGAGTTCTGCAAGTTTGGGAAAATGAATCTTTGATCCCTCATAATTCGGCTATGGAGAGAAAAATTCTGCTTCTCTTCAACCCCTCCACCTCCCAATGCAAAAAAAAAAAATACATAAGCTTAGTATCTCTGTTGAAAGGACCCTTAGTATCTCTGTTGAAAGGTGATTAGCATCCCAAGTCTCTTTTCTTTCATATCAAAACATGCAAGTCTGAAGCTTAGTATCTCTGTTGAAAGGACCCTTGGTGACTAGCATCCAAAGTCTCTTTCCTTTCATATCAAAACATGCAAGTCTGAGCAATGGGCCACCTGAAAATGTGCAGAGGTTGAGTGATAGTACTGAACTGATTGATTAAACATAGAACCTAAAACAGGGGTGAGCAATGATGTTTGTAGGGGGGCCACTTCACCAGTTTTGGTAGTGGTCATGGACTGGCCCCAGAAAGGGCTTTAAGTGGAAGGGTCATGGCCTTGAACAGAAGGGGTGTGCCCCTGGTGAGGAGGGAGACTTTGCACACTCCCCTTTGGGGCAGTGGAGCATGCAGTGTCCCTCACCCCTACCCAGCCAGCAGCGCACGGTGCCAAGAGAGGACCGCCAGCCATTTTGAGCAGCTGGCAATTCCATCTGGTACCCCATACCCCTGGTGGGGGTAGGAGACTTTGCGCTCCCCCCTGGTCTCGATTGACTTGGGGGCAGGGGCACAGCAGGGCGGCTGCAGGCTGGATCAAATGGTTTGGCAGGCCAGATCTGGACTGTGGGCCATATCTTGCCTACTCCTGGCCTAGAATTTCTAAATTCTGTTCCTAACTCTGCCATTGATTAATTTGGCTGAGAAAGGTAACAGTGTACACATAACATGCAAATACACAGCATCAACAAAGCACACATTATATGCATTAAAAACTGGCTAACTGATAGAACTGAGAAAAATTACTGTAAATGGGAAATCCTCATCAAGAGGGGGTACTTCTAGTGAGTTTTCTCAAGCGTCTGTTCTTGGCCTGATGTGATTCAAAATCTTTATCAGTGATCTGGAGGAAAATATAAAGTCATTGCTGCTAAAGTTCTGCTGATAACACAATAATTGGTGCAACAGTAATGAGATGGCCAAGTCAGTTTTACAGTATTATCTGAGTTGCTTGGTAAAGTAGGCCTATCTGAACAATTTATATTTTAGTACAACCAGATGCAAGTTTATACATCTGGAAATAAAGGGATAGATAAGATAATGGGATTGTATTTTGGAAAATAGTGACTCTGAAAGCAGTCTGGATCAAAATCAATAACTGCCATGAACTGTGTTGTGATCATTGGGCCTACAACTGTAAAAGCTGAGAGAGAATTTATAAAGTGCAATAAAATGCAGTAGTGGAAGTCAAGAATCACGGGACCTTCTGAACCACTGAGCTCCAGGGCAACTGCCGCCTTTGCCCCCTCATGTTTGCAGTCCTGGGTGTGGTTATTAAGAGAGCAAACGTGATCTTTGGGTGTCTTAGGGGAATTTCAAGTAGAAGCACCGAGATGTATAATGTATACTGCCTTAAGGAGACCGTTACTGGAATGCTGTGTCCAGTTTTGGTGGCCATACTTTAGACAAGTTGGAAAGAGTTCAGCAAAGAACTATAAGAATGATTCAAGGTTTGGAAAATCTGCCTCATGGGGAGAGAGAAAAAGGAGATAAATCTGGTGTGTCCAAGAGAAGATTAAGAGGTGACCTGTAGGCATTTATAGCAAGTGATCATTGGGAGAATATTTCTGATAGAGAAGGGTTTTTAATTTAACAAATATGTAACAAGAACCAATATCTGGAAGGTGAAGCTAGATAAATTTGGAATAGAAACAAGACGCATAAATGGTCAGGGTAACTAGTCATTGGAACAATTTACCTAGCAATGTAGTGGATTCTCCATCTCTTGAAGTCCTGAAAACAAAATAGGATGTCTTTCTAAAAGAGATGTGGTCAATCAACCAGAAAATATTGGCTTGCTGCAGGAATAACAGGATGAGATTATCTGACCTGTTATGCAGGACATCAGACTAACCTCACCCTAAAATGTTTGACTGACAGTTCCCTTAACCTCTTTGTCAGTTTTCCGACCTGTACAAGGCAGACAATAATACTTACAGGGGTGTTTTTCAGTTTGAATTAATTAATTTGTTTGTAAAACAATTTGAAGATATAAATGGTAATTTTCCCCACATTGAAATGCAGTTGATGAATTAAATTTGATACAATTTTTATGTATGTATGAGGACTGATTAAAAAGTTGTAAGGGACTAAAGCATGTGCTATTTTTCATCCAATGATTAGGCATGTAACCTATGCTAACTATTTAAAGTATTGCAAAGTATGTTTCTACTTGTGTGTTCAGTATGATGAATCCTTCAGTTGTGTTACACTTTCTTGGGGTACTGCGAGATTGTAAATACATTTTTTCCTATATTTGTGAAGGGTTTTTTTGAGGGGGAGGGGGCTGTTAGCCCACCTGGCTCAATGATTTGTGAATAACAGTATATTTAAAGGCTTCCCTAGTTGATTTTTGGTGAGGAAGGGGATGCATTTACATTTTATGTGTTTTTTTGTGGGGTTTTTTTTTTTTTACTACAAAATTTGCAAGTATGTGATGAATGCTGTATGGAAAGCTAGCTTGATAGCACAGGATAACTTTCTATTCAATATTAATGTCATGGCTACTGAGCACTCTGAACACAGTGCTTATTAAAATGGGAGGCAGCATGGTCTAGTGATTTAATGCTGATATCTGAGGATCAGGCAGCCTATGTTCAATTTTAAATGCCACAAACTTCTACTTAAATTATTTAATCTCAGTATGCCTTTTCTGATCTGTAAAAGGAGGCTAGTATTTTACCTTTGTAAAGTGCTGTGGTAATAAAAAGAACTGGATGAAAAGGGCTGTAGAAAGAACAAAATATATATTCAACTTTTGTAAGGCCTATAGGTACTTAACTATTACACTGAACTGAAAATGCAGGTTTGACATTCTGAACCAGCAACCATGAACTATGAGAACTAAGACAGAAACACTGTCAGAAATCAGGGTGAAGTTTGGGAGGTGAACCCCACTGTGACTCAGTAGCACTTACTGACGAGTCAGTAATGACATCTTCAGAGCTCTGAACTTCAGTACAGGTTTTTGTAGCAGGTATATGGTTAGGGACGGGGTTATAATAGTGCCTTCATTTTGGGAGGCAGAGAGGAGGCAGGGGGGAATAAGGTCTTCATGAAGGCACAAGGGTAAGGTCCAAACTTTATAACCTAATATAATTCCCCCAAGAAGGTCCCTATGTATGCTGTTTTGTCACAAAGGCTACTTAGTGCCAGGTGGCAGTAGTGTGAAGTTAGTTAACCCTACTGTTGGAAAAAGATGAGTTAAGTAGAAATAAAATGGAATAAAACTTAAAAAGCTGTCCTAAGTTAAAGACAAAATAAATTACTATCTACTTTTGTCCTTCCAGGTGAAGCCAATTACTCATTATAGAATCAATGTGTCAGCACGGTTTCGAAAACCACTTCAAGACCCATGTACTATTTTGTAAGTAGGATTTTCAGTTAGGGGATGTACCTTCTTGTTTCAATTGAGTTTTACTGAAACACAGCTACAAATTATTTAATTTTCCTTTATTCTTCCAGTCTGATTGCTAATGGGGATCTTATAAATCCAGCAGTGCGCCTCTTCATCCCTAGGAAAGCACTAAATCAGTGGGAGCATGTTCTTGAAATGGTGACAGAAAAAATATCCCTCAGAAGTGGAGCTGTGTTCAGGTAAGGGGAAGCTGTATATTTATAATATAAATTGACATATCTTTAAATCTCAATAAAAAGAGCTGGAATGAAAATCTAAAATTTGCAATTTCCAGCGAAATGGAAATTAAAAAAAAATTCAGTACAATAGAAATGTTTTATTTTTGCTTTATAGTTTCCACTATTTTCTTTTGACAACTATAATTTTAAATATAATATATAAGGACCATATAATATTCATATTTAATGTAACAAAATCAAAACCGTAGACAAAATATAATATTTTAACATTGTTGAAATGAAACTGTGATGAGTTGCGTTGCAGAGATTCCCTTGAAAGTGTCACTTGATGGGCTGAAATAACTCTGAGCCAACCTAAGTGCCCTTTGGGGCTCCTTACCACCCTGTCTTGCTGAGCCAGACACTCCGGTCTCCTTCAGCAATGGTATATAGTTAGGTGTCACAGCCCACAGCAGAGTAATATAGACACTGAGATCAGCTCAGCTCTGGGAAGACTCACTTAAAGGGGCTTGCCATAGCACCCAGGTTCACAGCCCCAATGGGACCAGAACTCCAAATAAATCTGTCTTATACTGTATAAAGTTTTACAAAGGGCAAGCTCATAAAATATTCACCCCTTTTATCAGTGAGAGAGATGCACATCTGTTTTGCCCCAGATAACAATTATATACATTGGGTTTATTAATAAGCAAAAGTGGCTTTATTTATTAAGTATAAAAAGTAAGATTTAAGTCAGGGTGGGCAATAATTTTTGATGGAAGGGCCACTCCAAGACTTTGGTAAGTAGTAAACAGTTATATTAATGGAAAAGGTGTAGGGTCTGGGATGGAAGCTGGTGTAGAGGAAGGTGCAGGAGGGGGTGTGGAAGCTTGGGGTAGAGGATTGGGTGCAGGAGGGGGTGTGGGTTTGGAAGGGAGTTTAAGTGAAGACCTGGGACAGGGGAGTGGGGTCTGAGAACTTGTGCAGGATCTAGGAGGTGGTATGGGTGCAGGAGATCTGGAGGAGTGGTGTAGAAGGGAGTTCAGGGTTTAGGATAGGAATTGTGACCTGGGACAGAGGTGCAGGAGGGAGGGTAGAGGATTGGGTGCAGGAGGGGGTGTGGGTTTGGAAGGGAGTTTAAGTGAAGACCTGGGACAGGGGAGTGGGGTCTGAGAACTTGTGCAGGATCTAGGAGGTGGTATGGGTGCAGGAGATCTGGAGGAGTGGTGTAGAAGGGAGTTCAGGGTTTAGGATAGGAATTGTGACCTGGGACAGAGGTGCAGGAGGGAGTGCAGAAGGTTTGGTTTGTGACCTGGGGCAGGGCATTGGAGGGAGGGAATTGGGTTTCATGTGCAGGCTCTGGCCAGGAGACACTTACCTTAGGCAGCTCCTGTGAGACTCTAAGGTAGGCCCCCTGCCTGATGTGCCTCTGCATATCACTCAAAGTTGTTGGCTGTCGGGCCCATGTGCTCTCTGCATGCCACGTGGCCTGGGGAGGGGGCATCCTTGTGCTGTCTGTGCTGCAAGTATGGCCCAGGCAGCTCCCATTGGCCCTCTGATATCTGAACTTGCAGTTGCCCCTATAGTTTGATTTCTCACTTTTATATAGTTTTTTCCCAAGGTGGGAATCCTTTGTATTCAGTTCAAACTTTTCTCACCTTTGGTGGACAAGTACAACATTCAAGATGAATTCCAGGGGGGAGTCCTTTTTGGGACTCTGAGCTCCTTCTACTGGATGGTTCATAGGAAAAACATGAAACATCATTGTTTCTTGCTAAAAAGTTATTAAGTTTATGAAGTATTGTCAGTGGCTCTCACTTAATTTGTGTTACTAGTGTAGTTATGCTTACACTTCACATTCCTAACATCAGATATAAAAATAATACACACAGAGAAATAGAACTGACACACTCAACAGATTATAACTTTTCTGATGATGTCTTACATGAAATATTTTGCATCAAGCATACTTCAGTTAGTTCATATTCATAATCATAAACATATTTCCATAAAGAATATGTAATGCAATATCACAGAAACATATTTACTTTTTGTCATAAAACATTTTATCATAATTAATACGTTTCCACAAAATATTTCAATTCCTCCCCTCCCCCTCCCCAGCATTTTTCAGTTGGGAACTGGTGCATCAAATTTCTTTCAATTTGCTCTATCCATGGCTTGCCATTTTCTGTGACTTAGGCCCTGCAGTATGCTCAGAAATCAACCAACTTGTTCTGTCAAACCAAGGTGGGATGCAGGTAGTTACACAAGCATCTTGGCTCATCTCATTTGATGCAGTATCCATTAGGAGATAGATGATTTCTCAGGTCAGTAGTTCTAAATGATTTGAGGGATTTAAAGCTTAAAATCAGCCACTTTAAATTGTACTTGGAAACAATTTGAGAGCCAGGTCAAGTCCTTGAGTACAGATGGAATGTACTCTCTGTGGGAAATACAGTAAAGTAAGCAGGCTGTCAAATCCTGCACTAAAAAAAGTGTGTTGTCTTCCAGTATATCCCCATACAGGACCCGTTATAATTATTCACTTTCCAAGTGGGAAAGGCATGGTTAACCTAGGTAAGGTCTGAATCGGAGAGAAAAGGTCACAGCCACATCACTCTGTACTGGTGAAGCACTCTTTTCAACTGTTGCTTACTAGGCCATTCTGGAGCCTGTGGTAGTCAGTAAGACCTCCAGGTTGTAAAGCTGTATCACAAAAAGAAAAACTCCTGCCAAATAATAAGAGATGAAACATTCTCTCTCACAGTGTAACCTGAATCTTTAGTGAGTTGACTTTCCAATGGCTAGCTTCCATCCAGTTCTCTCATCCCCATTGCCATATATGGCACCACACCCGTTATTCTTCCTAGAGATGTGCTTATGATATAAATATGGCATAACTAAGATATATTTTATGTAAGATGGCTCATACGAGATATCATTTAAAAGGTTATCATTTACTGCATGTGATTATCCATTTGTATGCATGTATCATTCCTGTATCTGAAGTTAGCAATATTGACTATGTAACAATTACAACTGTGTTACAACTGAGGAATTCCTACCAGACAGCATGCAGACAAACCTGGACGGGCACTGTCGGGGGGGGGAAGGGGAGAGCAATAGGACTTTGAAGATGCTAATCTCCCACCTTTCTGAGAAGTTTCTTAGGATACAGCTTTGACCTGGCAGGTACTGGATTTCATCTTGGACTGAGAGTATTTTTCCACTAATAGGAGTGGGGATCAAACTGGGAAACAAAGGATTTCCACCATCTGTAAATCCGATTTAAGATTGGGGAATGAGTTAATCTAGGGTCATTTTTCATTGAATCACTGCCCAGAATGACTGCTGGAAACCTCTAAGAAAAAGACAAAAGAGGGGAGAGGATTAGGACCAGGTTGGAAATGGTATCTGGCCTGGTACTTTAAGCTGCAAGCAAGAGCAGCTTATCTTCAAGAAATTCTGCAACCTGCTTAAAACAACTTTTAGGGTGAGAAATTACTACTTGTAGCCAATTTCTTTAGAATTAAGCTTAGTTTTGTTTTGTGTTTGTTTTATTTGCTCAGTAATCTGCTGTGGTCCATTTACTATCCTTTATAATCACTTCAACTACCTTTTGTAGTTAATACACTTGTTTTTTGTTTATTCTAAAGCCAGTTTGTGGAATTCATAGCTGGGAAGGGGGAAAAAAGCTGTGCTTATCTTCCTCCACTGTGATGGAGGGGCGGATTTTATGAGCTTACACTGCACAGATTTCTGTGCAGCATAAGATAATTCATTTTTGGGTTTATGCTCCAGAGGGGGTGCACACTTGAGTGTTGAACAATTCCTAAGCTGAGTCCTCCCAAGCAGAGCTTGTCTCAGTATCTGTGTCTTTTGCAACTGGGTGTGATCCAACTTGTGGGAGTATTGGAGGAGGCTTGAGGGCCTGGCTCAGCAAGGCAGTGTAAGGAAGCCCATATTGGTGGAACAGGGTAGGCTCAGTGCAACCCTAATACATCAGGTGGCATCCTGGGGTGGTGATGGTGATGGTGGTGGGGTAACCCATCACACCATACTTCTGTCAGCATCACAAGACTGGCCAAACACAGTGGTTTTGGGACATCTAAGCTGTAATATACAGTAAAATGGATGTAAACATACACAGGCCTTCCAATGGGAGGTGGGGAGGAAGGGGCCCAGAGATTCAAAAGGGCTGGGGCTCTGGTGGTGTCCAGCGCCCTGGGCATTTCAAATCACTGCTGGATCACCGAATGGTGTGCTCCAAGTGGCTGTGAGGGCTGGAAGGGGCAGAGGGGCCTGCAGCGTGGCATGGGTGCTGCTGAGGCCTAGCAGTCCCCCACTCCTTCTGCTTGAGGCCCCACCCCTTCTGGGAGCACAGAGGTGGCCCCTCCCACCTTGCCCAGGGGCCTGGCAAGTCTGTTGACCCCATTGAACATACATGACAACTCTTAAGTCAGTTCCTCAGCTAGTGTAAATTGTAGCTCCGGTGAAGTGGTACCATTTTATACCTGCTGAAGATTGGCACTGTGTTTCCGCCTCCAGATCATTTTGAAATGAATAAACCCTTAGAGCTTTGCTCCCATAATTTAATATCATGTCACAGTGTAACAACCAAATTATGTACAGTAAGGTACAAATTGTTCTGTAGGTAACTATGGTTGCATTTCAGTGTTTTGTGTTATTTTTGAGAATGAAAAAATGTACATGACATTTGAAATGTTCAGTGTTTTCCTTTTCTGGCTTCCTAATCACCTAGTTTTCATATTCTGTCCCTTAAAATATAGTAGGAGTACATATTAAATAAGTTAGTAAAGTGATCATTGCTCCTTAATAAGTTACACATTCATTTCTGTGGTTTATAGTCACTGTGTTGTCTTCCTGTGAGATCATTCATGCCTTGTTATTAAACAAAGAAAAACAGTTACAAGAATGGCACTAGATGTGTGGGGTTTTTTTTCTGTTCCACATCATTAACAGCATAGCTGCCAAACTTTGTGAAGCTCCATGCGTGACATTTATCAAGTCATTGATTCTCTCTGCCAAGCTCCCCAAGAGTGGAGTCAGGCACAGGAAGGATGGGGAAGCACAAGCAAATACATCCAGAGCAATGGAAGAAAGGGAGTCTGAGAGCAGTAGAGGGGAGCTGTACCTTGAATCAGGTATTGCCTGGTCCCTGAGGGCATAGATGACTCATGCCTTCCAATGTTAGTGGGGGCACAATCTAATGGGGAGGAGATGGCTACATCATATGTCTCCTGTGGCCAGTAACTCCTTCAGCTCTGAGCTCAGCCTGATGCCACTAACCTCTTCCTGCCCCACCAAAATTATCTGTGGGAGGCCTGCTGTATTCAGCCCCTGTGCTCAGGCTTGGGTAGTGGAGGTAGTCCACTGCCTCCGTCTCCCTAGGTGGACTCTTGCAGACAGCCGCTGTGCTGCACAGAGCAGTGACCCAGAGTAGTAGGTGTGAGAAGTGGCTGGTCCTGCCTCCTCTGCTCCCTGCTTGGACCCGGCTGGCAGGGAGAAGACCGAGCATGCTGGAGGGCAAGGGCAGCAGGAGAAAAAGACAGAACCCCTCTCCTTCTATGCAGTGGGCCAAGCAAAAGTCTGTGAGGGGCCACTTGACTCTGTATGTCCCCCTACCTGTTCAGCTATGCCAGAGGGACGTGTGGGGAAGGTACAGGGTGCTTGGAGGTGAGGCATGAGGTGTGGCATCAGGGTCTGTATGTCAGGACAGGTGAGTTGGTTGGGGTGTTGGTGATAATGTGGAATGTGTCTAGGCAAGGTCAGGGGTAGTGGGAACCTGAAGCAGCTGGATAGGTGGGCAAGATTGTGAAGGGCCAGCAGCCTAGCACCAGCCTTTCATGTTTTATCCCTGCCACCGCTTCTACTCTTGGCTCTCCATTTCTGGCTCTGTCAGGGAGAGAAGCAGAGAGCGTGGTCCCCTATGGAATAGCCACCACAGCATCCCTCAGAAATAATCACTGCGGGAGTGTCTCTGATGCCTACCACGGATACATAAGAAACCAGCAGGGCTCTGGGCAGGTATGACTGAGGGGATGGAGAAAAAGCTGTAGGCATGAATGACACACAAAATGTGTGTTACTTGTCAGGGTTGTTATTGTTTTCACTTCAAACAATTGGTTATGTTTAATTCAATTTTTAGGTTTTATTATTTTTAGTGAGAAACTTAGCTGGGGGCAGCCAGATATTTATTTGTTAAGGATTTCAGGTGGTTTAGTAGGCTGACAATATTAAAAAAAAGAACAACAAAAATGGCATTTACAGCACCAAAAGCATACATTAGACACGGTTAAGAGTCTGTTTAATACATCTATAGCCGCACCCACTGACGTTTAGATGGCAGAATTCTATTCCTAAACGACATTAATTTCCTATTTTCCAGGATTCTCCAAATAATGTGGTGTAGCAAACACAATGAGGTGAATTCAGAAATGAATTTCCTTATTGTCTTTACGTTTCCTTGTTTTAGTGGGATTGTTTGATTTTTTAATGTAGCATCATCATGTCTGGTGGCTTTTATGTGTCAATGAAACACAATTTTTTTTTCAGGTATTTCCATTGCCATGAAATGTTTATAGTTTAAAAAAAAAAAAAAAAAAAAAAAGCACTAAGCATACATTGTCATGTGGAGTGCATTTGGGTTGCACTAACTATGCAAGGAAGCAGCAAAGTGATTATTATTGTTTAAGCTGAGATTGGTATTTGTATAAAATAAGAACAAAAATGTTATCTATGTTAGTATGTAGTTTGTTGCGTCTAGAAAATTGAGGATCTTCTACATCTGGGGGATTAATTGTGCATTATGGGTTAGAAAACTGTCAGTGTTTTTGTAAATTGTGCTTTTAAAAAAATGTCATGCAAGATTAAATCAAGTATTTGAATGCCCTCCAAGGGCAATAGATTCTTCTGACAATGTCAGAAGTTAGTGTAAAAAGAATTAAAAAGAATTATTGGAAAAAGTAGCTTTTTCTCATTTATAAAATATAGAATGTTCTGACTTTGTTCAGCTCTGTCATCTTGTACATATCTTTATATATTGTTTGGGAAGAAGCTTGTTAAGGTGGACCTATAGAGAAATTAATATTTGCTTATTTGGTGTACTATGCGTCCCCTTGCTTTACGTGCACTTTGCATATGCGCCCCCTCTAGAAAGCTTCTAAATGCAGATGTTTGCATATTCAATTAAATTATGTAAACACGCTCCAGTTGAGTTGTGGAATGTGCTGCACAGGTTGGAAACTGTACAATATAGAGGGATCCTTCCACCTACCTTGTGATCTTGTATAAAATCAGACACTTTGAAATGAGATGATTATGGCAGAAGAGAAATAGAAAACCCCAAGCAACAAGTTTTTTTCCTGTACTGACAGTAAATGCATGTGTATACACAATAGTCTGTTAGTCTGTATATTGAGATTATTATGGTAAAAATCTGTCTTGTGCAGCACAGACATTAGCTCTCAGTATTTTAATTTTGTACATAGTTTACCTTGCTATAAAGTAAAAGCGATCTCACAGTATCTTAACACTAACCACCACAATAAAAGAAGCTCAACCCAGAATAGGTATCCTGTGTGAACAAAAGTACTATGCATAATTATGTTCAAACTTAAAATAAGATAGGTTCTGAATCTTGGGGTTATGACCTAACCGCTTTTTCCATATAGCAGGACAGGAAGTGGATCCTGATATGGAAAAAAGGGACCTAGTAGGAAAAGGCTGAGAATCAGTGGAATGGATCGCTTGTTGCTAGAGAGCAGGGCATAGTGAGAATAAAGTTTTTGTGAGTACAGAAATCCAATAGTTCTTATACTTACTCCAGTTATTGGATAGAGGGAACCCTTTATGTGTCCCCCAACAGTTCATATTTCATTAGCTGACACAATTCACCAGGACAGTGAGAGATCAGTCCTAAATTAGATTTCTGTGCTTGCCTGCTTGGATTCCAAGTACAGTAAAACTCCATTGGTCTGGCATCTGACGGTCCGGCACTCCTGATGGTCCGGCACCATCAGGAACCCGGAAGTGCTCCATAGCCGGACCATTGGAGCTGCTCTGCCTCAGGCGTCCCCAAGTCAGCCGCTGCTGAAATTGACCAAGAGCTGACTCCAGGAAGCCTGAGGCAGAGCTGCTCTGCCTCAGGCGTCCCCAAGTCAGCCGCTGCTGAAATTGACCAAGAGCTGACTCCAGGAAGCCTGAGGCAGAGCTGCTCTGCCTCAGGCGTCCCCAAGTCAGCCGCTGCTGAAATTGACCAAGAGCTGACTCCAGGAAGCCTGAGGCAGAGCTGCTCTGCCTCAGGCGTCCCCAAGTCAGCCGCTGCTGAAATTGACCAAGAGCTGACTCCAGGAAGCCTGAGGCAGAGCTGCTCTGCCTCAGGCGTCCCCAAGTCAGCCGCTGCTGAAATTGACCAAGAGCTGACTCCAGGAAGCCTGAGGCAGAGCTGCTCTGCCTCAGGCGTCCCCAAGTCAGCCGCTGCTGAAATTGACCAAGAGCTGACTCCAGGAAGCCTGAGGCAGAGCTGCTCTGCCTCAGGCGTCCCCAAGTCAGCCGCTGCTGAAATTGACCAAGAGCTGACTCCAGGAAGCCTGAGGCAGAGCTGCTCTGCCTCAGGCGTCCCCAAGTCAGCCGCTGCTGAAATTGACCAAGAGCTGACTCCAGGAAGCCTGAGGCAGAGCTGCTCTGCCTCAGGCGTCCCCAAGTCAGCCGCTGCCGAAATTGACCAGTGGCTGACTCAGGGAAGCCCGAGGCAGAGCAGCTCTGCCTCAGGCTTCCTGGAGTCAGCTCTTGGTCAATTTCAGCAGCGGCTGAATCAGGGACACTTGGGGCAGAGCCGGACTATCGGAAGGGGGAACTATGAGGGGTCTGGGGTGGTCCCCCTCCCCAGACCCCTCATAGTTCCCCCTTCCGATAGTCCGGCATATCTGATAATCTGGCACCCCCTGGGTCCCAAAGGTGCCGGCTTATCGGAAGTTTACTGTACCAAGAAGCTTGAGCCAAGCTGTGATGTGGATGGTTCATTCTTGATATGAGTCTTTGGGTGCATAGGATTTTTGTATGACAGCTGTTATAGCTCTGCATTTGAAGTCCAGGAAATTAAGGACCCAAAAGAACCATTTATGATTTTTAAGTGGATAGTTATTCCACCTTTTCAGTGTACTTAGCAAAGCTAATTAAAACTGCAATTCATGTTTTGCCAGGCTTTATACATTAGATGGAAAACTTGTTCAGAGTGGATCAGATCTGGAGAATGGACAGTTCTATGTTGCAGTGGGCAGAGACAAGTTTAAGAAGTTGCCTTATGGTGAGCTACTGTTTAGCAAGTCTACAGTAAGAAGACCTCAGGGGTAAGCTGTGTGTGTACTTGTTTTCAAACTATTTGTATATTAACCATTGTGGCTACAAACCAAACCCAATAAAACACAAAATGATTGTCTGAGACACACAACATGTAACACAGAAGCAGCCGTTTATTTATAATTTTGAAAAACCTGTGCTGATACCCATGAAAGAGAAGAGAGGACAAAAATATTAGCAGAAAGAAAAGAAACTAAGAGGATGTGTTTCTCTCATAAAAGCACCATTGAAGTGAGAGATTATGTATCATAACATGATCAGTGTGAGAGATGTTCAATACCTCCCTGGCTCACCCCTCCCCATCCAGATTTTTCCTCTAGTTGTGCTAATCCAGACAGCTCTATGGTCTTCAGTGGAACTGTGCTGATAATTTACAGTGGCTGAGGAACACTATTATTTTGTATGGTGTGCAAAGCATATATTTGTTTTAAACATTCTGTAAACCACCTCTATGACCCAGAAGTGGAGCATGACCTTTCTTAAAAGGAATTCTCACCTCCCCCCCACCACTCTGTTTCCCAATTACACACTCTTCCAAACCTTCCCCTGACTACCTGTGTAAGGAGAAAAGCGAGCTAAGGTGATGTTAACATCTGTTCACCAGGGACTAGACCAGTGTTTCTTAAATTTTTTAAGACCAAGGATCACCAAACAATTTTTTTTATGACAACACCAAGGATTTTTTGTTGAGCAAAAAAAAAAAAAAGGGGGGGGGGCTTGGGAGAAAGTTATTGAGTGGAAAAAAGGTCTGCCCCTTTAAAGGTGGCCATTTTGAATTATGTTGTTCTCCATGGCACACCTGTGACCGCCTCGCGGCATACCGGTGTGCCGTGGAACACAGTTTAAGAAACACTGGACTTAGACAATGCACCTGTCACAGGAGTATTCTTTTAGAGCTGCTTGATACTACAAATATGAATGGGCCTGCTGTTCATTACCATTAGTAGTCCCATTGAGTTCCATGATAATAAGTACTACACTGGTAATATTTGCAAGATTGAGCTTAAAATGAGTATGTGATACATACTATCTGTTAAAATTCTTTAGAAAGTTTGGGCTCAATTCCCTAACTTTCTCTGATGTAGATCAGGAATAATTTCCTGATAATTTGTACAATATGAGACAAACTCTGGTCTCACATCAGTTTCTCTCTGCCATATCTCCAGAAAATTACCTCCAATGCAATATATGCTGGTTTTAGTGATCTGTATACAGAGAGAATTCGTAACGCACAATATTCTGGGAAAAATATTTTTAAGGCAAATCATAACTAAGCCTATGTTTGTGTTACGAGCTAGGTGTCTGATTTCTCCGTTTGTGTACATGTACTTGAGCTAATTCTCATTGCGCTAGAATGAGTGTAAATAGTAACATAGCCATGATAGTGGTAGCTGTGCCAAGTACATACCCAGCAATGAGAGCTAGAATGAGTGTGTGCACATGAACAGGGGAAACACACCCCAGCTGCATTGTGTAGCTTAAGAACTGTTGAGCTAGATTCTCAGCTGGTATAAATCGGCATCACTACACTGAAGTTAGTGGAGATAGGAGGATCTGGCACAGATTAACAAAATACCCTCCTCACATTTTTCAATATATAAAGTCTGTTGGTGGTTCTCAACATTTCTGGATTTCTGTATCCCTTTGGGAGTCTGATTTTGTCTTTGTCTCCCCCAAGTTTCACCACACTCAGAAACTACTTGCTTACAAAATTGGACATAAATACAGAAGTGTCACAGCATACTGAAAAATTGCTTCCTTTCTCATTTTTGCCATATAATTATAAAATAAATCAATTGGAATATAAGTATTGTACTTCCATTTCAGTGTATAGTATACAGAGCAGTAGAAACAAATCATTGTGTATATCAATTTTAATTTGTACTGACTTTGCTAGTGCTTTTTGTGTAGCCTGTTCTAAAACTAAGCAAATATTGACATGAATTGATGTACTCCCTGAAAGACCTTTGCATACCCCTGGTTGAGAATCACTGAAGTATACTTTATAGGAATTACAATACATTTATTTGCATCAGCTAATGATTAGGCATTTCACTGCAACCTACTACATGTTAAATTGATGTTGCTATCAGTGGGATTTCTTAGTAGAATAGTGGATTGGGTGAAATAATTAACTACATTGCATAGTTAGGTAAACAAACCTTTGTTTGTTATAATAAAGGCACATGGAGTGTTTACATTATAGACTGTGTTTAAAATCCTAAGATGATATTTGTTTCTGCAGTTCCAAAGCTTCTTCACTGCCTCCTGTTGTGGGATCCCGAAAATCTAAAGGGAGTGTAAGTAGCAAATGCCACAATAAGAGTTTTTGCTGTTAACTGTGCTTAATTCCAACAGATGGAAAGTCGCTTTCCTTTGGGTTTCAATTAAATGTGATATAATAAAATCCAGAGCCACCTGGTGGTATGTTCATTACTGCTTGAAGAATATGGAGCTATTCAGATGTCATTTAGAAAAATGTAATCTCAGAAAATATTCTTGCTATAATGGCTCTTTATTTTGTACAACATCTCTGAAACACAGCCAAGGGTTTACTGTTGCTTCGAGATATTTCTCATAATTTTTTAGAACTATACTTGTTAGTTTGTGCTTGTCAAGGCTGTTCCTCTCTCTGGCACTCTGAGTGCAGATGGTGGGGGCCCACAAGAGACCTTCAATACCTTGTCTCTATAGGCTTCTGCTTAAAAAGCTCCCCAAGGTCACAGAGCCGTTAGCCGTGGGAGGTTGTTGCCACCATCAAGTGAAACAAAAGAGAACTCCTTTCTTTTTGAACTCAGGAAAAAGCACTTAGACTTCTTCCACAGGTGCCTCCCATCCCCCCGCTCATCTACCACAAGAGAACTGGGAATAAATAAAGAGAAAACAATCTCTGACAGCTGACCTCTCGGTCTTAGGCATACATACACAGACCTCCTGTTATCTTCCAGGATACAAGAATCAAATCATTGCCCTAAAAAGGTGATTTTATTAACAAAACAAAAAGATATACTTAATAAAGCATACTTGGTTGCTAGGTGTTAGAGGGTCAGGGCTGTTGCCTGCTTTGTCACTCTGAGTGTAGAAGATGGGGGCCCACAAAGACCTTAAATACCTTGCCTCTACAGGCTCTGCTTACAAAAAAGCCTCCCCAGAGTCACAGATGCACTGGCTCTGAGGGAAAAAAAAGCTGCTACCATCAAGTGATTTCACCCTGAAAAAGAGAAGGGAACACTTGATTCCTTCCCCAAGGGTACCCCAAGGTCTTCTGCTCCAAAAGAGCTTGAAAAAAGAAGAGTGAGAAACAAACTGCAGTCTCTGGTAGCTGACTGCCCAGTCGTAGGCAGGCAAATACACAAAGAGAGCCCCTGTTACTTTCCAGGACACAAGAATCAAATCATCACATTAAAAAGTGATTTTTATTAACAAACAAAAGATATACTTGATAAACATACTTGGCTGCGAGGTGTACAGAGCAACTAAGTAAAACAAATTTAAAACAGAGAAAATCTCCAGGAACAACTCTTAGTGAATGGGGAAGGGAAGGCATGGGTTCACACAGAGAAGGTTACACCAGACAACCAAAATAAAGAAAAATACCCTGATCGTGACTAGATACACTTTTCCTTATACTCATGATCCATGCTGATCTGTACTTTAAGATCCAGTTCACTCCCATGTCCAATATTTCTTATAGACATGGTCATTTTGATCCCTGCATCTGCTCTCTCCAGCCTTTTTCTTAGAAATTCCCACAAAGAAAGAACAGACCAGGTATCTATATCCAATTTGGATTTCAGAACTGTATCCCCATTGGTTCTTGTGGCCCCATGCCAACACCCTTGCTAGCTACCTGAGTTCAGCCCCATAGTCACCGGGTGCTAGCCAGCACTCCTCCTATCTGGCACAGAGAGCAACTGAGACACAAACAGAGTAAAACAGAGAAATGTTATCTCTGGGATACACTTTAAAATACAATATATGGGGAAGGGGCACATGGATTTAGCACAGAGAAGTTTAACCAAACAACAAAACAAAGAAAATAACTTGATCACAACTAAATAGACATTTTCCTATCTAGTTACAATCTGTGCTTCAAGATCCAGTCCATTTCATGCCCAATACTCTTTGTAAGCATGGTAGTTCTGCCTCTTTCAATTCATCTTATCCCCCCAACTTCTGGCTTAAAACTCATTCAAAAAAGCCAGCAGGCAGGTATATTTTCCAATTCAAATTTCAACACTTTTCCCCTTTGGCTCTCCTGGCTCCCTGCCAACACCCTCTAGCTATCTGAGTTTAACCCTTTAGCCATCAAATTCTAGCCAGCACTCTTCCTATCTATCACAAGGCTTTTTTTTTTAATTCAGTTTATATCACAAGGAAAATAAACAATCAAGACCTCATGCAAAATCCACTAAAACAGTGAGAGTCTTTTCAGGGTCTTCAATGGGCTTTGAGTCAGGCCATAAAAGAGTTGCCTATCCCATGTTCTAGGAAACCTTGACAGCCTGATTCTTTATTGCCTTACTCCCTTTATAGCCACTGACAGGGCTCGACAAATAATGCAATCTACTCGCCCATGGCATCGCCGGACAGCGCGGCTGGCGAGCGGGGCTCACCGCAGTTCGGCGAGCCCTGACCACTGACACCTCACAGACTCAGACTTAAAAGTCAGAAGGAATCTTCATGATCACCTGGTCTGGCCTGCATCCCATGCAAAGTGGGTATAAAATGTTGCCAAATCAGGATGGTAGTATTTTATTCCCTTCTTGCATTCACTGTGCACAGAGATAAATGACCACAGAAAGGGAATGGAGTGGAGAATGAGGCTCACAGTCTAAAAGTATAAGCCCTGTTGTCCATTCCACCCACCCTGCTTCCCCAACCAACCTTTATCTCCCCCCCCCCAAAAAAAGGAATAAGAACAAAATATGAAACAATTGGGGGGAAAAAACCTTCCACTCCATTCAGTATAAATTCGATAGATAATACAAACATCAGTATAAAGTGGCTTCCTTGTTCCATTCACTGTATGTGAATTTCAGCATTCTAGATTTTTTTTAAATTAATTTCTTTTAACCATGAGAAAAGTCTGGGAAAAAGAAGCAAGAAGATAACAAGAATAATGGTTAACATTCTCTGGGAAAAAGAAGCAAGAAGATAACCATTATTCTTGTTAACATTCAGAATTTGTCTTTTTTTCAGTTGTACCGTATTTTCCGGCGTATAGGGCGACTGGGCGTATAAGACGACCCCCTATCTTTTTAATTAAAAGATAGGGTTTCATCTTATACCCCAGCGCCCCTCCGCCTCCTTTGCTCCCGGTGTCCCTGGTCTGCTGGAGATGGTCCCTCAAAGCCGCGGAGGGGCTCCGGCGGGGGGGCAGCCCATGCGCGCCTGGGATGCCCCCCCCGCCGGCTTCCCCCGGCGCTTTTC